ATCAGGCTGCCACTGGATTAGCTCATCCACCATTTTCTTGATTCCGGAAGAGGCGGCTCTTGAACTTCTTTTGGAAATAAATCAGGTCGGGCACACCTGCCTGTAGGGATTCAGCTCTGATCGGTAGCCTGAGTATCTCACGTTGAAGTTAACACTTATTTCCTCTTGTTCTAGTTAATTGAAAAACACACAGTCCCTGCCCTTTTTCACTTCTGGTCGGTGACAGAAGTTCCTCATTCAACACTTTGCACAACACATAAATACGGCACCCTTGGGGCAGGATGAGAGGCTTAGGAGGGGCAAGCAGAGCAACTCACCCAAGCTCTCGGGGACAGTCAGGGCTCAAGAACCAAGCGTGTTCTGGTGGCAAGGTTTGCAAAACTTGTACTTTCTTCACCTGGACGTGAAGGAACAGGCCCTGTTTCTCTCCCAGGCCTTGGCAAAAACTTCATTTTTCAAAGGCCTTGCTTTCCCTTTAACCGTCACATTAACTTTTATCTGATTATTTTAATGGGCTTTGGCATGGACGTCTATTTTAATTTGGTGCTATTTCTGTCACATCTTTAAAATCATTTTATGTCCCTTCCTGAAGGCCAATGAAGAGTTAAGTAGCATAGAGACCAGTGGGCTGAATGGTGGCCCCCAGAAGATCAGGCTCTGATCCCTGGAATCTGTAAACGTTACCTTATTTGGAAAAAAAAAAGATAGCCTTTGAAGATGTGACTAAGTTAAGAACCTTGAGATGGGGAAATTACCCTACGTTATCCACTTGGGCCATCAATGCCGTCAACATTGTCCTTGTAAGAGAGGGGCGGAGGGACTCACACACACAGAAGAGGAGAAGGTGATGTGGAGACAGGAGCAGAGATTGGAAGGATGTGGCCAGAAGCGAAAGAATGCTGGCAGCCACTAGAAGCTGGAAGAGGCAAGGGATGGACTTTCTTCTATAGCCTCCAGAGGGAGAACCACTCTGACGACATCTTGATTTCTGCCCAGTGAGACTAAGGCTGAGTTTCTGCCTCCAGAACCATAAGTGAATATAAATTTCTGTTGCCTGAAACCACCAAGGCTGTGGCTATTTGTTATATCTGCCACAGAAAACTCACACAGGGACAAAAACGTTCCGGCCTCTATTGTTGGAACAGTCTGGCAAAGCCTATGGCTCCTTTCTCAGCAAAATGGTTTCAGATCATAAAATAAAATATGTAAGACCATGCAGAAAGGCAAATATATTGAAATATGGTTGTTAGAACATAGGAAAACAACTCCATACAGCCTTGAGTGCGCTAATCAAGATGACACATTTCAGATAGACAAGTTAGAGCTGATTTCATTTTATTTATTTTTAAAGATTTTATTTATTTACTTGACAGAGAGAGACACAGTGAGAGAAGGAACACAAGCAGGGGGAGAGGGAGAAGCAGGCTTCCCATGGAGCAGGGAGCCCGACATGGGACTCCATCCCAGGAGTCCATGACCTGAGCCGAAGGCAGATGCTTAACCGACTGAGCCACCCAGGCGCCCGAGCTGATTTTGTTTTTGAGAACCAGTGAAGGCCACTGTTGTCGGGCTGGCTGGAGTCACACATTGTGTTGTGGAGTGGCCTGCTGTAAAGGAGGTTGAGAACACACATGATCTCCGGCTATTGTTTTGAAGTAGGGTTCAAAGGCAAGTGTGCCAAGATATGAAAAGTAACTGCAATGGCATCATGTAAATAGCCTGTGTTCACTGAGACCCAGCCTCAGGAATTGCTAATGCTCTGTGGTTTGCTGCCTATATTCCCCGGTTGAAATACTGAATGTCAGATGGTGCACGTCAGGTACAGGACCCCTGGCTCACAGAAAGACGAAGCAGGAGCCCCAGCTTGAGTGGCCACCGCATGGAGCCAGGGCTGGAGGGGGGCCGAGGAGGACCAGGCAGGCCCTTGGCTTGTGTGGGAGCTGGGCCCCCCAGGCAGGCCCTGTGAGAGGCGGCAGCTCACAGGAGCTGCCCGGGGATAAAGCAGGCACAGCAAATTGGACAGGGTGTCAGGTTGACTATGAAATATGACGGATCAACAGCCGAGGCTGGTGGTATGACCTGCTTTCAGACACTTCATTTAGAAGTTATCATATTGCTGGATGCTTCCTATAATTTGTGATGATGCTGATTGTGATAAATTGTGAGTTTCTGGCAAACTCCCCCAGCCCACTCCAATGGCTGAACAGAGAAAATGTGTAATTCTATGGGAACATTCATGCCACGAATGAGAGCTGGGATCTGCCTGTAAACAGAATGCTCAGTCCGTGAACAAAGTAATTAAATCAAGCTAATTAAATCACAATAAAAATAATTTTAATTTAATTAATTTCTCTGCACTGATTGAACATTATGTTGCAACTATGAGGCTTCCTGAACACTAATAGAATTTAGGGGCTGGGACACTGAAGTTGTGGTCACTGGTGTGGTACGTGGGTTATTGTGAAGGGAATGAAATTAAATACGTTTAACGAGATGCCGAAATGTTGACTGAGCCACAAATAGAAAATGGTTTTGGAATTAAGATAATGAGGTCTTTTCCTTTCCCAGTTAGGCTTCTGTATTAACTGGGGCAATAAATGTCAAATTTGGTCATAATTTAAAAGATCTAGATAAAGTAGATGGTACACAATTGCTTCATTATGTTGGGAATTGGTGGGAAACTTCAGGTCGGTATCTCAGTAGTGAGCAGAATTACTGGGGATACTTACCTGTTGTCAGCCCTACCCCAGTCTGTGGTACCTGGTAAAGACCCTAGAATCTCTAGAACTAGAATCATGAGGTCCTCAGTCAAGGAGTTAAACAAGTGGCAATGGGTTTTTAATAGCAGCATGAAAGATTTAGGTGAGGGATATAGAAGGACTTTTTATCTGAGACAGGTATTGTTGACCAATAACCAGTTACTTCTCCTTCTCCTTTTTTTTTTTTTTTAAGAGAGGGAGAGGTGGGGGAGGGGAGGGGCAGAGGGAGAGGGAGAGAGAGAGACACTCTTAAGGAGGCTCCATTTCCAGGGCTGAGCCAGACATGTGGCTCGATCTCACGACCCGGAGATCATGACCTGAGCTGAAACCAAGAGTTGGGCGCTTCACCGACTGAGCCATCCAGGCACCACTTAACCAGTTACTTCTTAAAAATGTGAACCATGCGTCCCCCCTGCGCCCCATCCCTTATCCCCAGTGATAAACAGAGATACCCTTACAGCAGCCGGTGCTCAAATATTTATTATTAAATTGAATTTTTGAGTTCTCAGGGAATTTCTTCCCTTAGCCCTTGGAAATGAGGACGAATGCTCTTCTTGCGGTGTTGTTTAGACGTTGTTCAGTTTCTAAGCGGGAGGATACTCACACGAGACGACCTCTCAAGGTCACCTCCCTGCGACTAATTTTGTCATGTAAGCAACACTGGAATTCTGAGTGTGTGTTAGCAGGCGCTCACACAATTACCAACTGTGATTTTAGAGGAGCCTGTGCTTTGGATCCCAATATTATTTATCATGCATGTTATTTTAATTAATATTTTGTGTGTGTGCCAACATTTGAACCAGACCTCATTATGACTAGTCGGGGCGCTGCGTTGTTTGTTGAGTGGAATTGTTTTCTGGGATGCAGCTGGTTTCCTTCCTCAGTAGCCAGGGAGGGCAAAGAGACCAAGGGGCCAGCGTCTGGAAAAGGCTCTGCTACCACAAACATGTGTGGTGAGCCTCGGTCCGAGATGGCTCACCAGCCAGGAGCTGTTTCTCCATCCAAAGGGGTGTGTGTGTGTGGGGAGGCCCCTCAGGAGGGCTCTACGCACTGAATGAGGTTCCCCAGAGAGAGGGAAGCAGGAGAAGTGTTTGTGGTGTCTGCGTGCGGCACACCAGCCCTAGGAACGAGGGGTGTCCATGCGCTTTTGAAGACTGAATTGGCACCTTTTCTGTTGTCTGTTGTTTCATAATTGTGCAAACAGTGTGAAATCCAGGCTAGCACAATGCCCACGAGCTCCAGCTGGTGGCTCCACTCAGCACACACAATAACTGAAGACCCCCTGCTTCCCCTGGTGCTCTGCGTAAGGGACATGTGGGCAGGTGCTCTTCTTCCCGGCAGAGGCGCCCCCGAGGTTAGAATGTGACATTTTCCAGGAGAAGACTTTTGTTGCTCTGGAAAGAGCTTCCAGGTTAACCTGCTTTCCAGCCATTCCTTTCCCGGCTCCTTGACTTCAGCCGCCCCTGCCCACCCCGAAACACTGCCTGGGTGCCTCCCTTCCTCACATGTGCAAACAGCCATCCTGAGCAGCATGAACACGCCGTACAGATGGAATCCCCACGTCCCTAGAGCATCTTGCCCATTCTAGCACCTCCTTTTAGAAAGATGCTACCCCCCAAAATGAGGCTTCACGTTTCACTCAGTATTTGCTAATGAGAATTAAAACCCTAAAATTGGTTTTAATCCTTTTCCCTTACTCTCATAGACGCCTAAGCCTAGTTCTATTCATTTCATCCTTCATTATACTTCGAATCATACTATCTAACCTTCAGTCGAGGGCAGACGTGTTTCCAGACGTGTGCTTAGCACCTTACCTGCCCCGGGGCATTTCGTTATCTCGGGAACTCCACGAGGCAGGTGCCAGTCTTCTTTCTTTGTTATGGCTGACGGAATGGTGGCTCCCACACGTGAGCTTACCCCATGTCGCAGCTCATAAGTGGCCAAGCTGCTACTAAAATCAAGGTCCTTCTCCTTCCCCAATCCCTCCTCCTGACCATCGTACTGCCCCCGAAATGAATCAGCCGCTGAGATCTCTTCTGTAAATGTTCTGCCCTCTCTTTCCGGACGCGGGGCTGCCCAGGAGCACACGTGTTGCTGGTCTGAGCCCAAGCTCCACAGTCTTCCTCCTAGTCTTCTTTGCCAGCCCAGAAAGCCGTTTGACAGAAGGGAGATTTTGGACCAGCTAAGAATGTTAGGACAATTTTATTCTCTCTGATAAAGTAAATTAACTACACACTGTGCATCGGTATCGGCCCAAGGATTCTGTCACAGGAGGAAATCTCTTTAAAGGGTTTGAGTCGGATGTCTTGCACGCTGCTCTTTCAAGCAGCTCTGAGGTCCAGATCCTGCACCCGCAGACGGCGCTCCGCTTTGTGGGGACCCCGCTTGTCAGTTCCCTAGGGGGTACCAGCCACAGGCGTGCGCCCCCCGGCACAGCTCAACATACTTGCCTGCGGAATTCCTCCTTGAACCCCTTCTCTCTTCTCTGCTCCTTCTCGTTTTTTCTTTTTTTTCCTCTCCAAATCGACTTTTCCAGTTGTCCACTTCATTCCTCTGACAGCCCCTCCCTTGCCTGTCATCTCGACTGGGTGGTGGGCTCCCCCCTACCTTGTTCAGGTGGCCTGTGCCTGCTTCATCATTCTCGGCTGAAAACTAATAATAACAGAAAATCCAAGAAGAGAAAATATTTACCAGTTCTGACACGGCTTGCATTAATGAAATTATGTTTGGGGGCATTTAGATTGAACTGGTGTAATTGTAGGTTGCAAAGTCTAATAGTAGCTCATGCGGGGATATCATTTTGTGTTATTTTGCTTTCAGGTTTTTGTTAATCCAGTGGGTTTGGTGGAATCAGAGGGCTTGCTCTGAAAAAAAAAAAAAAAAAAAAGCCTGAACAACCTGCTGGCGGGAGAACAGCCTTGTCAAACTAGCAGGTAGCTGCACGTTTAGCCTTTATCCTGCATACAATGAAGGCAATCACCGGGGCCTGTAGAAAGAGTATTGAACTGTCCACACAGGACATTTTTGTTGAAAGTAGTTCTTTTGATTTCATCTTCCCAGCCTAATGTAATAAAAACAGACATTATGGAACACATTCATCTCAGTTTGATAGGGACCGTCATGAATACCCAGCAACGTGTGCAGTCATAAAGGTTATCCAACTGCCGGAAGTGACTTGGAAGATGATTGGTGATCCAAAGGTTGTGAGCACCTCACCCCAGGTGAGGGGGGTGGTGGGCAACCGTCCCGGGAGCACACCAACATGGGGATGGAGTAGAAACCTGCTGTTGCTATTGGGAGAATATTTAACTTCTCAGACATTGTCACTGGTAGCCACAAGCCACTTTTCTCCAATTAGCCAAACCCTGTGGGGTTATCTCAAACGAACAAGAAAGGAAAACAAAGTAGAGGAGTCTTGAACTTATTTTGGCTCATCAGATGGCCATCTCTATGGAAACAGAGGCAGGAATGGGCCATGGTCAGAGGCCTGGTTCCTGTCAGCTTCTCTCGCTTTCCATATTCCCAAATTCCATGCTCTGATTCTGGGAGTCTATGACCTACCTCCGTGGGGATGAGCAACAAAGAAAAAAGTTTCACATAACTTGAGAATTCAGGAGTTTTCCCCCCAAACAAGAAGCTCAGAGAAGTTAGGCGGACTGGTATTTGGGAGGATTCAAACTTACTACACCTTCTAATTTCTTTAACTACTTGCTGCATTCTGAGTTTTTTGTAGCCTGGTAAATATCACTCCCAATACTTATTTGTGTCATTGCCCGGGCGCTATTTTCCACGCACTCACTAAAGTGCACGGAAACGAATTGCTTATGCTCCATCAATTACACCGTGCCATGAGTTTATAGGTAAACTTTTGCTGGGTTTTAGAATGAAAACAGGTGAGTAATTGCAGAATGAATTTGAAAGATAGTATATAAATATAATTCCTGAAACTAAATAAAAGCCCAATATTTCTTTCAGGTTCAAAAAGGCCCATATCTTATTGTTCTAATAATTACTCTTGGAGTCATTGTATTTTATACTGTGCTCATTTGCTCATGCATTCATTCAGCAAATGCCATTGAGCATCTACTGTGCGCCGAAATTCAGGTGTTGGATTCTGGGAGTTCAGAGACAAAAGACATAGTCCCTGCCCTCAGGCAAATTGCAGGCTAAAAGATGAGGTAGATGGTCCTAATACAGTATGATAAGCACCTTGGTAGGGAGACGCGCAGGGTGCAGTAGGATCCGAGAGGGGAGTCATGGATCCAGCTATGTGCGTGCATATGTGTGTGTGTCTGTGCATGTGCGCGCATGTGGGGCGTACACACAGGCTGCATGCTCATGGGTATTTTGAAGGGCATGGTTTAAAAGTAGGCTTCCTGGTCGAGATGATGTCTAAAATAAATCCTGAAAGACAAACGGTAGTTAGACAATGACAAGGAAAGAGGTTATGTTCTAGGTCAAAGGAAGGACAAGAGTAAATGGCATTCCAAGAACGCAAAGTTACTTTGTTAATGAGAACTGTGGTTACTCGGGCTCCAGGTGATGGATGAGTCTGGAGACACTGGCAGTGCTCTTGTGTTTCAGGCTAAGGGGTTTATTTGTCGGAGGAGGGAAGGGAGGAGAGGAGGAAGAAATGGCAATAGGGAGAATTGAAGACCAAGAAAGGACCTAAGATTTCTTTTCTGCTTGTGTCTGGTGATTTTCATAAGTATATGATGTATTTTATTATTTAATGTCTGAACTCAGTTTAATCATTTATGAAAAAAGAGCTAAACCTCCTTCCTTGGGAAGCTCTTGAGGGTCACATGAGATACTGCTGTAAGATGCTTAGCACGATCCCTGGCACGGTATGAATGATTAATAAATGGTGGTCGTTATTCTTGCAATGAGCGTGGAGGGTGGACCTCAAGGGGCGGGGCCCGGGGCAGTACCGTGGCTAGAATGAGATGCCAGTGAGAGCTGATGGTGGTCTGAGGTGGGGTGGGGAGACAGCAACTGATGGGACAGATACTGGGGAGGCAGAATGCAGAGGGCTGATGACTGACAACGTGCAGGGGTGAGGAAGACGAGCATCAAGAACAACTTCTAGGTTTCTGGCTGGGTGTATGGTGGCCCTTCCACTGAAATGGACACAGAGGAAGACTTGGGCCGTGTCCACAGAGTGCAAGACCATATAACACCCAAACCCAAAGCGGTCCTTAGTCTGTAGCAACTTGTTTTCAAAACTGGACTCAAATCAGGAGCGTGTGAAGCCATGGGGGGTGCTGGTGGGTGGGATGCAGAGCCATCTTGGTGAGGTGGGGGTTCAGAGCAATTCCTGCCAGATGAACCTTTCTTGATGCCATGTGACCAACTGCACCTCCTCCTCCTCACGTGACCTGCTTCTCTCCAGTGCCCTGACCACCTGTAAGAATCAAGCTCTTCTATACCTTATCCTACCGGCCAGGCTTCTTACCTCGTCACGTGACCTGTGATGCTGGTGACCTCCAATCCTCCCCACACCAGACCCGGGTGTCATTGCATATAAACCTGCTGCTGGGAAAAATATAAGAGTTATGAATCCTGCTTCTTTGTGTTCTGGCCAAAGCAATAAAATATATTCCCAATACTAATACTGCAATTTAAATTTATTATCTTTGTGCTTTACAGTATCCATGGCAGTAAAATCCAATCCCAAGAGTATCATTACAATTTCCAACTACTTAAGGAATTATTTTTGTTTATGTTTTAAAGCCACAGCAATAAAATTTAATACCAACGATAATACTACAACTTTGTATGCCCTTAAAATTTGCCATAAATGATAATTGTGAGGAGAATGTCAGTAAACATGTAAATGTTTTTCCAGGAGAAAGCAGCCTTTTTGGTTTGTCTCATGGTGAGGCCCAGATTCTTAATAGAGCATTGGGAAGCGTGCCTCCTTTCCAATTAGGCAACAAGTCCTGTTGTTGGTCCTGTCTCCTAAGCGTCCGTTGAACGAGCCCATTTCCCTCTGTCCGTGCAGCCCCCGAAGCCATGTGCCATCGAGATCATCTGCTTGGGTGACCAACACAGCCTCTCGCTCTCCTCCCTCCCACCCCTCATTCAGTGCTCCACATAGCAGCCAGGATGAAGTTTTCAAAACACTAATCTTGCCAGCTTCCAAGAAGATATGGGGGATGGAAAGCAAGTTATATGATACCGCAAGGAAGCCATCAGCCAAATGCAGAATGTGGGACACGATGCAGGACAAATGACCTGGTTTCTCTAACAAATCAATGGCATAAAAGAGAGAGGGAAGAAGAGAGGAGGCGGCTGTGATGGAATCAAAGAGATGTAAGGACTATAAACACAATGAGCAAATATCTGTGGGCTTTGTGGGGCTCCCGGTTTGGGAAGCCAAATGTAGAAAGACATTTTGGAGAAAATCAGGGAATGATGGGGATACTATAGAACTACTATTAATTTTGTTGGCATGTGCTTATCTTGTTAAAGCAAAGGCTCTATCAGTAAGAGGTGCAGTCTTGGGTTTTTACAGAGGAAATGACATGATGTCTTGCATTTGGTTTTAAAATACCGCAACCCCCTCCTTCCCCAAAGTGGATGGGTGGTGGGCATAGATGAGAATCAAGGTCGCCAAAATGTTGACAATTGTTGGATCTGGGCATGGGTATGTGGAGGCTCCTTTTGTATGCTGTTTACTTTTATGCATGTTGGAGAAGTGGCATAATTAAATGTAAAAAATTTGAGAGATTGAGCCAGATGAAGCATTTGTTCTTTCCAATAGTAACAGAGTTATTCACCGAAGATACTTTTTCATCACCTACTTCAATTCAACAGATTTTTACAGAACATCTACCTCATACAAAATTGAATAAGGTACAATTTCTGCCCCTCAGAAGCTCACCGTCTGGTAGGGGAGGAGAGACCTACATTTGTTAAAGGTAAATAATACAAATACTAATATAAGAGCTCAATCGACAATATGCAGAAGAGTCAAAAACTATCTCAAAAAATTCAAGACACAGGGGTGCCTGGGTGGCTCAGTCAGTTAAGCGTCTGACTCTTGATTTTGACTGAGTCACGAATCTCAGGGTCATGAGATCTAGCCCCTTATCAGGCTCAGGGCTGGGCGTGGAGCCTGCTTAAGATTCTCTCTTTCCCTCTCCCTTTACCCCTCCCCTTCAAAAAAAAAATGTAGATTCTCAAAACTTAGGAATTGAAAACTGTGGGTGTGAGGCTCTGAATCTGTAGTTAAAAAAAAAATCAAGGCACAGAACACTGCATGGTATGTTACTTTTTGAATATATAAGGAGAAAAATAAGATTTTCTAGTCATATTAGCTTGTATAAGCCCAAAGAAGTGAGAAACAACTCATAAGAACTATGAAAACTTGACATCTATTTAGGAGAGAGGTGAACTGGGGGCCAGGAAAACTTTTTGCTGAATACCTTTTCATAGTTTCTGGTTATTTATTTATTTTTAATTTTTTTTAGTTTCTTGTTTTTGAAAACATGGGAATGTATTGCATAACCTTGCATAACCAAAAATTTAATATAAAAAGTGAAATAAGCTTTCAGCTCCTCCCTCATAGCAGACCATGTCTCTTGTCTATTAAAAACCCTTTCTCAGGTTCTATTACCCTTGCTATACAATGCGCAGCCCTTTTGGTGGCTTTCCAGGATGGCTTGATCTGGCCGCTGTGTCCTCCCGCCCCATGCCTGTCACTCCTCGGGCTCTGAGCTTGCCATATGGGATTCTGCAGGCTCTCAGCTCAGCCAAGCTCACTCTGAAGCAGGCTGCCAGCAAGCTCTTTGCTCTGCCTGGTTTGGTCTCCTCCACCCAACTGGTCTGACCAGCCTCTGCTCATTCTTTGGGTTTTGCTGGAGATGCCATTTTCCCAGCAGCCTCCCCTCCCCTCCTCAAATCCCCAGAGCCCATTCAGCAAGTTGCTTTAGGATCCTTTGCTATATGCTCCCCCAAGAACCCCATACATCTCTATGTTGGTAAGGTAAAATGTCATAGGTCTTGGTCTGACTGGTAGGTATTGGTCTGATTTTTATCTTTTTCACTCATCTGTAAACTCTATGAGAGCGTAAGTACATTGCATTTTCTCTTGTGTTCCATCACCTATTTCCAGACCTCCTAGTTAGTGGGGGTGTAACATAGTATGTTTAAGTGAGGGGGCTATAGTTATCGAAAATAAAGAGACAATCAGTTTGCATGTGTGTGCTAGAATGCAGGCGTCTGAGTAGAATTTTCATGAGAAGTGAAGGCAAAGAGAAAGACCACTGGAAGGATCAGACAGAAAGTGGCATAGAGCAGTGGGACAGGAAGAGACAAAGTGTGGACCTTCCTTGGGTCAGTATAATGGAGGACAGCAAACATATTGGAAAGAAAAAGGCTGTGGGAAAAATGGATGAAGAGAAAAGACTTAAGAGTTATTAGAGGAGAGGGAAACATGTAGGGCAGGATCGTTAGCCAGGTTTCCACGTCCATGCTTTTGGAGGTGTGTGAACCTCTAGCAACTGCAGGAAAACTTCCATGGAGATCGTATGTGCATTTTTTTTTTTTCTGAGCAAACTTCATAGTTTTTTTTTAAATTTAATTTTATTATGTTATGTTAATCACCATACATTACATCCTTAGTTTTTGATGTAGTGTTCCATGATTCATTGTTTGTGCATAACACCCAGTGCTCCACGCAGTACATGCCCTCTTTAATACCCATCACCAGGCTAACCCCTCCCCCCAACCCCCTCCCCTCTAGAACCCTCAGTTTGTTTCTCAGAGTCCACAGTCTCTCATGGTTCTTCTCCCCCTCCAATTTCCCCCCTTCATTTTTCCCTTCCTACTATCTTTTTTTTTTTTAACATATAGTGTATTATTTGATTCAGAGGTACAGATCTGTGACTCAACAGTCTTGCACAATTCACAGCACTCACCATAGCACATACCCTCCCCAATGTCTATCACCCAGCCACCCCATGCCTCCCACCCCCTACCACTCCAGCAACCCTCAGTTTGTTTCCTGAGATTAAGAATTCCTCATATCAGTGAGATCATATGATACATGTCTTTCTCTGATTGACTTATTTCGCTCAGCATAATACCCTCTAGTAAACTTCATAGTTTTTTGAGGATCCTGAAAGTCTGGGGATTTAAGATGGACTAACGATCTTGTCAGGCTTAGACGAACCATGAAGTAAAGAGAAGAGGAAGCCATGAGGTCATAAGAGCCTGACTGTGACGTAGGAGAGAACCAGGAAGTGGATGTTGGATGTGTTTCACATAAACAGCAGTGTCCAGCGGGAGGTGGGTGGGGAGCGGAGTTAGGGAAGGTCATGGAAGGTCACTGAAGGTCACTGAAACCCATGGTGGAGCCCTGTCACCGTCACCGTCTGGACTGTGAGCACATCATTTGCTTCACTGAGCCTCATTTTCACTGGTAGGAGAAGGAAGGGTTGGGGAGCATTACAAAAATACCTTCTCGTCGACCTCATAAGGGTGTCATGAGGGGGTAAGAAAGACTCTTAACGACTGGAAAGTTGTGTTTGGGGTTTCTCTCTTTAATTTGTTCTTTAGGCAATTTCCATGAAATTTCATGTGAAAATAACTACAGTCCTTCTGAACAGTGGGGAGGGGAACTTAGCCCAGCTTCGTCATTAGCTCCTCATTGACCTTTTCGAACTATGAACAGAGATTTACAGCACCTCCCAAACCACAGAATCTTTTCCCATTTAGCTTATATATTGTCGGTTTGGAATGGTCTATGCTTCTTTTCGGTAAGTTCCAAGCATGGAATTCTACTCCAGGAGTGTACACTCCAGAAGGAGTTTTGTGCAGTGGGCGGCACTTGGGCCCTTGTAGAAGCCTGGGCTCTTGTCTTGTTCTGCTTCTAGTTGGAGGGTGACCCTGAGCCAGTCACCTCTGCACCTCAGGCTTCTGATCTATAAAGTGGGACTAACAGTAGTCCCAGGCTCGTGGGGCAGTGGTGAGGTTTAGCTGGTATAGTACACATGACCCTGAGAGTGGAACCTACCCATGAAGGCTCCTTAAAATTTGGCTCCTCTAATAGCCTTGCCATGCTGGAAGTCTGCTGGGAGGAGACTCCTCCCTGAATGGGAGGAGATGGGGCTGCCATGAGGCTGACCTCCCCATCCATAATCTCTCTAGAGCTACTCCAGGGTGGCAGGTGGAAGGGGATGCCTGCTCATGTATGCAGAAGGGATGTTTTGGTCCAGGGCTTCTCCTGTCTTTGGGGGCTGGGAAACTCCATTGTCTTTTCAAGGCCCCTGAGTCAAAGCCAGAAGACGTGTTTTCAGCCCTGCTCTGCCACGTCAGAGTTTGGGAATTCTGAACAAATCACTTCCCATCACTGAGCTTTCGTGTCCTCGCTTCTGGACTGACCCTGCAGGCTGCTGGGAAGGCGTGTTAGTCTACTGGGGCTGCCATGAAGAATACCACAGACTGGGGGCTTACACAGCACAAGTACCTTTTCTCACACTTCTGAGGATCTGAGATCAAGTGTCTGTGGGGTTGGTTTCTTCGAAGGCTTCTCTCCTTGGTTTGTAGATGGCCGCCTTCAACTTGTGCCTTCATGGGGCCTTCTCTCTGTCCATGTCTGTGTTCTAATCTCTTTCTGTAAGGACACCGGTCAGATTAGATTAAAGCCCACCCTAATGGCCTCATTTTACCTTCATTCCCTTTCCAGATACAGTCCCATTCTGCGATACTGGGCATGAGGATTTTAACGCATGAATTTGGGACGGGAGCACACATAGGCCCATAACAGAAGGCTAGATGAGACACTGTATGTTAAACCCCAGCATAGAGCAGCCGTTTGGTAAGTGCTAGTTAAATATGTGGACGCGGGTGCCTGGGTGGCTCAGTTGGTTAAGCGACTGCCTTCGGCTCAGGTCATGATCCTGGAGTCCCGGGATCGAGTCCCGCATCCGGCTCCCTGCTCGGCAGGGAGTCTGCTTCTCCCTCTGACCCTCTTCCCTCTCGTGCTCTCTTTCTCTCTATCTCATTCTCTCTCTCAAATAAATAAATAAAATCTTTAAAAAAAAATAAATATGTGGACGCATGTCACTGTGCTGCACTTTGCTAAGGCAACTGTAGCTCGTGGAGGGGGTGGTCCTGCTGCTCTTACTTGGCTGAATTGGTAATCGAGCTTTCTTTTCTTCTAAATCAAAGCCCAAGTCCCTGATGTCCTAGGCCCATCTCCCCAGTGTGCCACCACTGGTAAGGGGCAGATGAGGAGAGGGCTAAGAATTTTTTTTGGCTTCAGTGCTACTGAATGGTCAGTCGACTTGGTGAATCTCCTCAGGCCACATATCCTCAGTGGTTTTAGGACATCATCTCTCATGTCTGGATTTTGCTCTCATGGTCACATGCCCTGTGTCACTGGAACACAAGCTCACCATTGTCTTCTTATAAATGAAGGGAAATCTGTCCTGAACCGTTTGGGTTGCTTACAATATCTTTACAAAACAGCTTTTCAGTATTTCTTCAGTTAAAACAAAAGCAAGCAAACAACCACCACAAAAATGAAGAAAGAGGTAGAAAGAGCGACTTGGTTCCAAAGATAAGAAACGTGAAAAGCCCTCTTTGACCAGATCAATCTCTTGGAAATTCTATCACCAGGCCGTCAGTAGCAGCTCCTGTTATTGGGTCTTTACTTTCTCCTTTTTGTTTCCAGGTTCCTGCATCACCAGTCATGGGTTCCCTTGAGTGGTACTCTGGGGGATCTCTGTCACTCAAAGTGTCCCTCTGGCTGGGGTTAATGACTGTGAGCGAGGACTTGCTAGCTGGCACCCACCTTCTTCTGAAGAGAGGCAGATGGAGACTTTTGAGCCCGCACGCAATTGTCAGCAACCTCTGACTCCCCAAGACCTTTCCACTCTGACCTTCTCTGCTCCGGTGGTTAATGACAATTACATGCGTTCAAGAGGCCTCAGCTAATTGGGCAAACCGATTAAGTGGAGGTAGATACTTTTTTCCCCAATAGACAGCAACGTATATTCCAAGACCATAGAAGATGAATTTGAGAAGAAAATTATTAAGCATGAAACCTAACGGAGGTTTTTTTTTTTTTTTAAATATTTTATTTATTTATTTGAGAGGGAGAGAATGAGAGATAGAGAGCACGAGAGGGAAGAGGGTCAGAGGGAGAAGCAGACTCCCTGCTGAGCAGGGAGCCGGATGCGGGACTCGATCCCGGGACTCCAGGATCATGACCTGAGCTGAAGGCAGTCGCCCAACCAACTGAGCCACCGAGGCGCCCCTAACGGAGGTTTAAAAGAAAAAAAAAAAAAACCTTTTATTTCTAGATTTTGGGGGAAAAAATGTCTGGTTGCAATTTTAGATTCTCTTGATGGATGGATTTGCTTCAGGTGGGGGATGTCAAAGGCTCAGGTGTGAGTGGCAGGGGATGGGGGGCTGCAGCTGCAGAACAGAGAGGCCAGATGGCTTGCAAGGAAGGAGCGAAAACTCAGGGAATTCTAATGATGAGAAGCCCTCAAAGAGCTTTCAGAGAACGGGCCGACATGCTGGGAATCCTGGAAGCCATCACAATTAGCATCTAGAAATGACTGTGGGACATCCTTGCCTAAAATACAGGCCTATAGGCAATCCTGTCTCAGGTTTTGGAGCATTTTCTCAGAACAAACAAACAAACAGATTATATATCTAGCATATATGTGTATGCAACTGTGTACGAATTTTGTATTATTTATATGCATGATATATATATATCTTATATGTATATATTTATATGCATGTTCTATACACACACACACACACACACACACACACACACACATATCCACACCACACATTTGTTAAATCTGTGCTGATTAGAATAAAATCAAATGGGGAGGAAGTTTTCCCAGTCTCCAGCCATGGTCATCTCTCCTGTGTTGCTACTGGGAACAAGTCCCCGGCTCCCTATCTGGGAAGGGAATGGCTTCCCAGAGTGGTGGGCGATGCCCAGCCCAGGCAGACGCATGCTTTCTGCCTTCCGTGGAAGCTGGGTCACCAAAGAAAGGTGAGGCTGTCACCTTACTCAAGCTCTCTCTTCTTGAGCTGAGAGGAGCCCAAGACATGTCCTTTAAAACAGTACAGGATTACCTTAGATAGCCAGGTGGTCATTGTCCAAAGAAGATGTTCTAATATTTATACAGAGTTCATGGAAAGGAACTCATAGCACTCTTGGGATTCTTACTCGCCCTCAGGATGCTTGTGTGTGTGTGTGTGTGTGTGTGTGCACGCGCATGGGCTTGTAAGAAGCTCAGGAATAGGTAGGAAGGAAGACATCATCTTTTTTTTAAAAAAGGGTGAAGCACTGAGGGTTTGATTTGCCCATCATCCCCCATAAAGAAGAACCTATGTAATGGACTCCTCATTGAGGGCTTTTTCAGGGAGGACATCAGACTCGAGGAGAGAGGGGGCTGGTCCTACTCTTTTGCGGACAGTACTGAGGCTGTTAGTTGGTAGAGATTGGAGAGGACAGGCAGAGGGAAAAAACAGGCGCCATGTCATGCTGGGGCTGCTGGCTGGCTGGTATCCACCCACTACCTACCTGCTTCCTGCTTATCCCAACAACATCTTCAAGCTTGAACCTGCTCAGTCTTGTTGTGCGGCCTTATGTGACCTTAATTCCAATGCTGTGTGCGATACCGGGGTACCTGACTGAAGTTTCAGATGCAGATGTGACAGCTTGCCCCTGGTGGTGCGGATGGGGGTGTCACTTCCTCTCCATGGCTCTGTGGGCCTGCCTGGTTTGGCTTCTGTCACACTTGGTGGCACAGGAGATGGCTTGGGGTACTGGAGGAATTCCACCTGCCGCCCCTGGCTTCTGGCTAATTTGTGTATTTTAGAGGATCACTGCATTCTCTGCTCTTTGGGTCTGCTCTTAGCCTAGGAGGAGAATCAGTAAATGTGACCCCCAAAGTCTCAGTTTAAAAAGAAGCTCACAACAAAGCAGTCTGTTTGTTGTTGGCGGCATTTCCCTTCACGTGTAGTACGTGTTTGTTGACTGCCTCACTTGGTGTTGGTTGAACTGGCACAGGTAGTCCCTTGTATTGCCGAGACTCTTCCTGCTGTGTTTTTCTTCTCTTTCCTTCCTCTAGTATCTGTATGTTTCCAGGGGGTGCTACCAAACACACTGAGGATGAGAAGAAAACACAAGTGAGCCTCCAGCGTTTTATAGTCCATTGTGGTTTGGGAATGCAGGGGACAGACCTGCCATCAAACGGCCAGCATCCTGGGGTATGATGGGCTTGTGTGAGATTGGGGTGTCAGGGTGGCAGAGGGGACAGAGAGCAGGGTGGGGACCACTGATGACAGCATTTCAGATCACAGTCCTACTCTAAAGAGCTCACAGCCAAACCAAGGAATTAGTTCTAACACAGAACAGGACTTCTAGCTGACTTGTCACCCTCAGCTTAGCGTGCATGGCTAACTGGCTTGTGGTTCCTGGGCAAAGGAGTGTTGGGGGCAGGGGACGAAGAGGAGAGGAGGCAATGTAAGTGAAGTCAAGCTAAGCAGAGGACTGATGAGAGAGATGAGAGGCTAGAAATCACAAGTGAGAAGGTGGAACGGCGGTTAATGAGGAAGTGAAACAGTGGGTATGGCAAAAAGACACTGTGGTTTGGAGGCAGAAGATTGGTGTCTCACCTCTGCCCTTTATGAGCTGGGGAGCCTTAGGAAAGGGATTTACCCCCTTTGAGCCTCCATCTTACCATTTTATTATTATTATGATCATTATTTTTGTAAAAATTTATTTCCTTTAGAGAGAGAAAGGGTATGGTGGGGGCGGAGGGAAAGAGAGAGAGCAAATCTCAAGCCGACTCCCCACTGAGCGTGGAGCCTCATGCAGGGCTCGATCTTACAGCCCTGAGATCATGACCTGACTGAAACCAAGAGTTCGACCCTTAACCGATTGCTCCTCCCCGGTGCCCCCATTTTATTATCTTTAAAATAGAGCCAAAGATAACCTCCGCCCTTCCTACCTCACAAGGATATTGTGAGAATCCAATGGAAATGTTAAAACCCATAAGCCAAGACTCATGTCAACACACTACTTGGCCAACTGTGACTATCAAACAAATTTGGTTGAAGAAAAAAAGAAGTAGGTGAGCCCACACCAGAATATGAAGAAAAGACGATTAATCAAAGTAGGCATGAGGGCGCTAGGCAGAGAACCAAGGAATAACCAAATGGTGATGGTGTTGGCAGAGGCATCAGAGTTATTAAAAAATGCAAGAAGAGTGACAGGGTCCAAAGAATGAGCAGCAATGCCCATGCTTGAGAACGTAACGTGTCAGCTAATGTGCTGATGAGTGAGAGGCTGAGATTGGGAAGAGGGGTCAGCAGGGAGGAAACCACAGGTGGGAGAGAGAAAGTCAAACCTCAGTTAGTTTTCGGGAGGTTGAGGCATGGGTAGGAAGTTGTGTACTGATACCCGGGGTACGCTCTCACAGGCCAGAGTTGAAAGCGAGGCAGAAGGAGACAAGTTACCTTATTCAGAATTTAGGATAGATAAGATCTTGATTCAAAATGGCAATCCAAGATAGGTAGTCATAGTTGGGTTTTTTTTTTTTTTTTTTGGAGAGAACACTTTCATTTATTTGCTCCAAATCCAATTATTTAGTTTAAACTGGAAGTTTCATCACATGCAAGGGTGACCAGAGAGAGTCCCATCTCTAACTG